ACAGGCCCTGCTTTGGAAAATTAACTTAGTAAAACCTCATCGTCCAATTCAGAGCCCACTTGAAATCATTCGCAGTTTTTCCGCATTGGCAGAAGTCTTATTTTTAGTGCTCGGCACAGCAGCAAAGGCTTTGCATGTCAATTAAATTTTTTTTTCAAGCCAACTGCTTATTCATGGGCTCAAAATTGACACTCTCCTCAAGTCTTAGTCCGGATTCCGTGAAACAAATAGTAATATTTGGACAAAATATGTACCCAAAGATTATTTTTTTAAATTTTTAAATCAAATATAGATTGGTGACATCAGTACCTTTGAACATGGTAATTGGTCTCTGAACATAGTTTGAAAAGCGTAAGGCGTTTTAAACCCAGGGAAATCTATTTCAAGTCGTTTTTATTAGGAAGTAACGAGCTGTCTTTCCAGGTCCTCACCTTTCAATTAATGAGAGACCTGATGCGAGCAAGCAGTTGCACCTGTGTTGGAGTCAGTGTTAGTGACCCTCTCCAGTGATTATTTCATCAGTAGACGTCAAGACCTTGGTGGGATCCTGAGAGAAACCCGCTTTCCATTTTTTAAGTAGTCGGTGCTCTGTAGAGTCTAGAAAAGGAGTATTAGTCAGTGTAGTCTTTATCCTCCCATCATTTTACCCACCGTAAAAGATGATACAACCATCACATTTTTACACAATTAACACGTGTTACAGGAGAGAGCTTCCGAGTTTGTGGGGAAGTTCCATTCTCTTCATCCCCCTTTCCCATGAATATCTTTAAGCCCCTCATACATGTTTTTGTGCCAATTATGCCCCCTCAAAGAATTTTCCTAAGTGTGCTATGCTAATTTTTTAATAGCAACATATAAAAACATAGAGACCATTATGCTTAGAAAAATACCTTGTGGGAGAGACCATTCTTGTTGCCCCTCACCCCCCATAAAAAAAGAAGCCCTCTGTGTGTTACTTGTGTGAGAACACGGTACATCCTTCATGTGCCGTCAGCGCGGCCACACTGAGAGAGCTGCTTGCCTTCAGTTCAGAAGCAGGCAGCCTGTGGCTGCTCTCGGTGGCCTGGAAAGCCTTTCAAAGGTGCCAAGCCATTTTTGCTCTAGGGTGACACGGAATTGTGTTGCTCTCCAACAGGACCTCTCCTTCCCTCCCCACTGGTGAGTGTCCCAGAGGGATGTGGGCACTTGGCTAGAGGGGCCTCCACTAGAGCCGTGCTGCCTGAGCGGCTCCCTGCCACGCTGACATCGGTGTTCTTGACCCTGGAGTTCCAGCGTGCTGGCTTTGGTTGGGCTGCCCGCCAATTACCAGGCCGTAGGCTTGTGTTTTCAGACGTTCCTGTAAAATCAAGAAGTGGTGGAGGGATAATTATCTTTTTATTAGTCTTAGTAACTCCCTTTTAGATGCCAGTAGAAAAGCTTTCAACATCTCCAGTGTTTGAATCGAAGCCCTTGCCATTTATAACCAGGCCAGGTCT